ATTATTATTCCCCCCACTGTAGGAGCCAATAAACTTTTCAATCTTTTTGAATTCTGAGCGTTTCCAATTGTATTTAAAAATGGGAAACCTAATTAAACAATCATGAATTGAGCTTTTCCGATCTTATTTTACACTGATTCCTTTGATCATTTTTTTCTTAAAGTTCAAGTTGTAAAAATGCTAAGTTTGAATTGGTTATTTACATTTTAACTGTGAGTGACACGTAAGGCGGGACAACAATGCACAATGACGCACGCATTCTGAATAGAATAATATGTATTAATATCTCTAAAACTAAAAGAGCATATTCAAGTTTTACAACAAAAACGACGTCATATGCGTGTCCATTATGCGTAAAAGCACAGTGCCCTCAGCAAAACCACGTATTTGGAAAAACTATAGGCTAACAGATGTAGTAGCTCTAGTTTCAATCGTCCTCATTTTATTCAGTCAGACTTGTCAAATATAGATGCCCATGGGAGAGTGAGCAAGGGGAGATAACATGCCCATAACATGCCCAAAAATATCCTGCATAGACTCAAGCTGCGATCAGCTGAAATATGAGCACACAAAGAGCGAGAGGGAAAAAGAAAAGTAAATAGGCCTAGGCTAGTTAGTATTTTTCTCTCACAAAAGTTGGCACGGATCATATGCCATCTTTCGTGGAGGAGGAAACATCAAACATCAAAGCGCGCACGCGGGGAACAGCGGGACTAGTCTCGTTGTTGAAGTCCCGATGTTCCCCCACTTCTATTGGCGGGGGAACATCGGACCCGGGGAACATCGGGACTTTTTAATACGCAAAGTACCGATGTTCCCCGGGTCCGATGTTCCCCCGCCTATAGAAGTGGGGGAACATCGGACCCGGGGAACATCGGTACGCACCCGATCTGACGTACGCAGCCGCGGTGAAAACCGGCGTAGTTATGAAAGTCGCGCCTACAAATATTCAGAAAATGCCCCGTTTTTGCGACAGGCCAGAATGGAAGTCGACCAGACAGTGTGGTTGAAGGTCTGTTAGTGACACGCACTGAGTTTATATTGAGTTTTATTGTATGATTTTGTCCCAAAAAAGCCCCCACTATGTCATTTATACGCGTTTTCTCCCTAGTGTCTGTCTAGAGTCTAGACCCACTGCAGCATCTCTTTAGAAATGAATGAATGAATGACTGTTAATATCTCAGCAGTGACTCGTCAGGGTCAAGCGTCAGCAACATGTAAATGCAGGAATATGTCGCTTTCTGTGAGAGAGAAAGTATGAGTCAGATTAAGATGAAGAGATCCTTTGTTCGTTCCACAGTGGGGACATTTCAGTCCCATTCTCAGTCTGTGATATCACTGAACCTCAGTGGCACCTGCTGCGTGCTGAGCCCGTTAAAGAAGCGCTTTGCCATATCTCTGCTGCTGCGTTTATGCTTATGCACAAAACTAATGAAGGAATACGTTGCTTTGCCAAAGGTGAATGGGTCAAAACAAGTGGCCATGCGCAGGGGGGGCTGCCACAGATTTACGGAGAAACAGATGGTCACACATTAAGTAAGTCAGGTGTATTTGTATACAGCGCCTTCACAGAGCAGGATCACAAAGGCTCCACATAAAAAATTAAAATAAAAGATAAAAATAATACACACACAAGTCAGATTGAAAAACGAAGAAACAGAAGAGGGTCCTCATCATGAACGTATCATAATCTGTGAATTATTCTAAATGTGCGTGTTTCCAGAGTGTTAGTTTTTCTTACGCGCAAATTAAAATTTAGAAACATGACGCTCAATGAAAACGCAGATTATCATTCAATCTGGAGAGACTCAGAAGACAAAATGTAGTTTGAATGTTTTTATGATACATAGGTAGTTTGGCGTCCTAGGCCCCCGTGCGGCAATTAGGGCCAGCGAGGCTCCTGCTTAGTGCGCGCACGATCCCCCCGAGGCCTAGGAACTGGTGGTGGCATTAGGGCAGCAGGAAAGAGCGCACGCTCGAGCAAGGAGAGAGAGGCGGAGGAGGGGAGGCGGTGGTTTGCGAGGCTTGAGAAGGCCGTGAAGTGGGAGTCTCCGCTTTTAAGCTGCTTGCCTGGCCTGCATAGGTTGGCTGGGAATGGGCGTTTGCTGTGCGATAGGCCAAGGATGAGAGGCAGGCTTGGAGGGGATAGCTTTGGCAATCAGTCTACTAGAGTGAACCTTCGCGAAGCTCCATTTCAATCTGGAGAGACTCAGAAGACAAAATGCAGTTTGAATGTTTTTATTGATAGGTAGTTTGGCGTCCTAGGCCCCCGTGCGGCAATTAGGGCCAGCGAGGCTCCTGCTTAGTGCGCACACGATCCCCCAAAAGGCTGTGAGTTTGTTCTGGGTTTGGCAGGACGAATTATTCGAGCGTGAGGATGAGAATTAGATCAGTGAGGCAACGCTATAAATAAAGGTAACGCTATTAATAAAGGCAACGCTATCAATAAAGGCAACGCTATAAATAAAGGCAACGCTATAAATAAAGGCAACGCTATTAATAAAGGCAACGCTATAAATAAAGGCAACACTATTAATAAAGGCAACGCTATTAATAAAGGCAACGCTATAAATAAAGGCAACGCTATAAATAAAGGCAACGCTATTAATAAAGGCGACGCTATAAATAAAGGCAACACTATTAATAAAGGCAACGCTATAAATAAAGGCAACGCTATAAATAAAGGCAACGCTATAAATAAAGGCAACGCTATTAATAAAGGCAACGCTATAGATAAAGGCAACACTATTAATAAAGGCACAGCTGCTGCCACCGCCAGGAAGTTTTGCGAGTGCTTACGAGGATGGATTTGCAAGGGCTTACAGGGATGCCAAGGAGCGCTGGGCTGCCTGTACAGTCGTAGTGTCTGGCCTGAAGTATACGAAGAGCTGTGGAGGGCAGAATGAGAAACCCAGCGACGCCGTACACGTAGCAGCGCCTGTCCTGAGGGAGTGAGATGTGTGGAGATTGGGAGACAGATCACGTAGTAGCAGTTGTGGGTGCCTTTGACGAGGAGTTTGAGTGACGGCTCTGAGAATAGAGAGGAGAGAACAGGGTTGTAGCAGCGGGTCTGAGATTGGGTCCCAGCAAGCAGGGTAGGTATACGAGGTATTGAAGGATATTGTCTGCACGGTGAACTATGAAAGCACTGATTGTGTGAACGGCAGGCAAGGTAAAGGAATGTTGTGTGAGTAGTAGAAGTGGGAGTAGACTTTCTGGCGAAGCTGAATGTTATGTGCGTAGAATGCGAAAGAAACATTTTCGTGTACGAGGAAAAGACGAAGAGAAGGTGGGACTAGTCCAAGGCGGGGAACTCCATGGCGGGGGTCTCGCATGGCATCATGTAGCCTAGGCGCTGGAATTCCTGGAATTTAAAGTGAGAGAGACAGTCAGTATGCAGTTAAGGTGACCAGGGACGTGTCGTGCAGTGATGGAGATATTTAAGACTGAGAGCCGTGTGAATTGTCTGAGAAGGAATCTTGGGTAGAGGAAGAAGGACCTTAACCCTTAAAAGACGATGCCATCGCCGATGATGGTGGCGCACATGTTTTACAAATGATAAATTTACTCGCGAACAGTGAACGCTAGCGACTTACTTTTTTTTATCTCCGTGAAGCACACATTCCAGCCTTTCCGAAACTGCCTTCGGTTTGTCTCTGCTACATACGGGGGATAAACTACGTGTGTATGAAAGTCAGTCCCCCAAACGGATCTTCAAGCGGTGCCCCGTGAGCCAGGCACAGCCGCATGTAAAGTTGTTTACACACACGGGGACTCAGACAAAGATTGTCAGAGAGTGAGATGGCTCACTCCTCTGTGTTTACTTGTTGCAGCATAGGCAGCAGCTCTCAGAGGAGCCAGGAGTTCGCATTATTGAGAATAGACAATAATAAATACAGTAAAATGATAATATGTGTATATAATGTATTTGTATATATAAATTAGATGTTTGGTTTTTTTTTTGTCTTAGTTTCTTTTGTTTTACATATTTTACAGCTGTGATACAGAAGCAACCACAGCCTCATAGACAAACTGCTTGAGGAAGGGCATCAGGAGTACAGCGTTTTTGGCTTTTATAGAGGAATTTTGTAAAAAGTATAATAGTTACGGATTCAAATTTTTTCCCCATTATCCCCAAGACCATAAAACACATTTCTATTCAGTGTAAACAGTTGTTTATAGCATTTCATTGTGTTTTTCAATACTTTTTTGTGAAATTGATTTTCCGTTTCAATTTTTTCTTTGTCTTCATGACTCAAAATTTTTTATATAATTGATATGACAGCTCTAAAATATAGATATTCTAAAACCCCAGGTTGCACTGAAAAAAACAAAGTATACTGCTTGACTCTGCATCAAAAAATGACTCTTTTATAAGCAATTATACACAAAGAAAACCAGGCGAGGAAGGTTCCCCAAAATGACCCTAGACCTTGGAGGGTTAATATAGGATTTCTACGACGTCCAGCTTGTTGACATCACAGAGATCCTCTGCAACATGGGACTCCCGGCGCACGGGCCACGACTACTGGACCTTTGTGGAGGGCAGAGGAGAGGTTCCTAGGGAAATTCTTTGGGCCACGGCCCGGTGAGTCACTTGGTCCTGGTAGACCCCCCAAAACCCAAGGACGAGGCAGCGTCCGCGAAGAAGCGCAGGGCAACGGAGGAACGGACGACGTCACCGCAGAAAAAGACGCCGACCCGGCGGCCCAGCAGGCGGGACTAGAACATGGCCAGGGCGGCACCCAGCGTCCGGGGAAGACAGCGTCAAGGTGGGAGGGGCCAAAACCAGCGAGGGAGAGGAGCCTGGAAACAAAAGAACGGCCCTGGGGAACGAACCGGACGGCACGATTGAGGTGCCCGAGCAGGGAGAGCAGCTGGCGCTTCGACATTGACGGGGCCCGGACACCGCCCGCGCCAGAAACCGTGTGGCCCCGCGGGGATTGTGGAAAGCCGACAGCAGGTCGAGGGATGCGAGGGACGCCGACGTGAGGAGGAAGATGATGAACGCCCAATTGGGATGGAGCGGGAGCGCGTGGGCGAGCCTGGGGAAGAAGACCGGGGCTGAGAGGTGGGCGCTGAGCAAGGCGAGGATGAAACCCCTTCGGAACGGCGGCCTCACGGGAGCCGGGACGGGCCCCACGGGAGCCGGGACGGGCCCCACGGGAGCCGGGACGGGCCCCACGGGAGCCGGGACGGGCCCCACGGGAGCCGGGACGGGCCCCACGGGAGCCGGGACGGGCCCCACAGCACGGAGCGACGAAGGAACCAGGCTCCAAGGACAGCACGGCTAGGACATCAGGAGACACCAGCTTCGACGGAAGGCCCGCCTCACATGGACCAACGGCACCTACAAGAAAAAACTGTTGCAGCGTATGAAATGCAGCCACGTCGACCCGCGGCATGAACAGACCAGATTCCGCCCAGCATCTCTTTTGTTTTTTGTTTATTTTTGGGAACTGCAGCGTCAATGACCAGCAGCTCGAGGATCGTTTCCTCATTCGCGCCCTTGCATGTTTCTTGAAGGACCCATCAGACGTGAAATTGTATCATTGCCACGGCCAGGTCCATGGTACCGCTTTGCGGGAGAGGCCACGTTGCGAGCCCGGTCTACAGAGACCCCCCCACAGTCGGAACGAAAGTTGAGACCACGTTCTCCGAGTAAGACGAACCAGAGTCAGCGCAGTCCCTTATGTGACCAGGAGCACAAGATCTTCCAGTGGACCCGAAACACAGACCGTTGACAATGTGCGAGACGGTCTGCGCCAGTACGAAGGGGAAACATTGAACCACTCCGTGCTTTATCACGTTCTCCGCGATCAGCCCAGAAACGATGCAACCAGCGCTCGGGGCATCAGCAGCCCGCCTGCAGTCCAGAGCACGGGGTCAAAACAGCCAGTCTGCAGCCCGGTGCGCTGGGTCAACAGCCAGCCAGCAGTCCAACGAACGGGATTAAAACAAACAGCCCGCAGAACGATGAGGGACCAAACTGAGAGCCTGCAGTCCAATGCGAGGGATTAAAACAGAGCCTGCAGTCCAAAGTGAGTGATTAAAACAGAGCTTGTAGTCCAAAGTGAGTGATTAAAACAGAGCTTGTAGTCCAAAGTGAGGGATTTAAACTGAGAGCCTGCAGTCCAAAGTGAGTGATTAAAACAGAGCTTGTAGTCCAAAGTGAGGGATTTAAACAGCTTGTAGTCCAAAGTGAGGGATTTAAACTGAGAGCCTGCAGTCCAATACGAGGGATTAAAACAGAGGCAGCAGACCAAAGTGAGGGATTAAACTGAGAGCTTGCAGACCAATGTGAGAATTAAACTGAGCTTGTAGTCCAAAGTGAAGGATTTAAACTGAGCGCTTGCAGACCAATGTGAGGGATGTAGACTGAGAACCTGCAGTCCAAGTGAGGGATTTAAACCGAGAGCTTGTAGTCCAATGTGAGGGATTTAAACTGAGAGCCGCAGTTTGAAGCGAGGGATTTAAACTGAGAGCCGCAGTCCAAAGCGAGGGATTTAAACTGAGAGCCGCAGTCCAGAGTGAGGGATTTAAACAGCTTGTAGTCCGAGTGAGGGATTTAAAGAGCCTGCAGTCCAATGTGAGGGATTTAGACCGAGAGCATGCAGTCCAATGTGAGGGATTTAAACAGAGCCTGCAGTCCAATGCGAGGGATTTAAACTGCGAGCCTGCAGTCTAATGCAAGGGATTTAAACTGAGAGCCTGCAGACCAATGCGAGGGATTTAATCTGAGCTTGCACACCGATGCGCGGGGCCAACTGACCCTGTAGTACAATGCGAGGGGAATAAACCGTCCGCAGGTCAGCATACTTACCCACAAACGCCAGAAGACAAGGGAAAAACAACATTACCACGCCGTACCGGCACGAAGAAGGCAGGGATGCGCACAGCTCCCACCGCACCGGTCCAGACCGGCCGTATGCAGCAGCGGCCGCGACGAGACGAGCAGCGGCGAACCCGCAGAAAGAGCCCGCAAAGAGGAGAGCGGCAAAGACCCACGGACCACAGCACGAGACCCACAGGAGGTGCAGCGACGCGGAGGAGGAGCAGACCACACGCAGCAAGACAGAGGACAGCAGGGACACGTACGAGTAAGCGCGAGTAGACGAAAGCGATTCCTCCAGAACGACTCCTTGCGAGGCTTGAGAAGGCAGTGAAGTGGGAGTCTCCGCTTTTAAGCTGCTTGCCTGGCCTGCATAGGTTGGCTGGGAATGGGCGTTTGCTGTGTGATAGGCCAAGGATGAGAGGCAGGCTTGGAGGGGATAGCTTTGGCAAGCAGTCTACCAGAGTGAACCTTCGCGAAGCTCCATTTCTGCCAGAGTGAGAATATGTTTATTGTTGTCCAAATCTTGCATTACATGCGTGTTTTGGCGTGTTGAGATGAAGGTTGAGATGAGCGTACACATTTACACCACCTGTACTTGGTGTAAATTCTAGATCGATAAATGCAGAAAAGTGTAAATATTTTGCGTACGCCTCATTTACGCTGATTTGGCCAAATGCAGGTTTCAAACATGAGGCCCACTGTCCCTGGTTAGACTTTCACTCACTTTAACGACACAGACTAATTAATACAATAATGAAAGGCCCAGTGTATTATTATGTTATTTAGCCCCAAATGCAGCTGTTCATCAATATCTTTAGTGTTTCCTTGAAATGTAATTAAACAAAACATATTTTATTAATTATTTTTATTATTGTCACTAGTTTTCACATCTTGTGTGTTTGGCCTCTGTCACATCTGTAGATCAGCTTTTTCAGACAGAAAAGTGACAAAGAGAGGACCACCCTCACTCAGCCAATCAGCTCTCAGCCCAAAGAGTCCAATAGTGACTCACAGGGATCTTACAAATATGCACCAGATGTTTTCTCAGAGGATGAAGACATTTGTCTGATTTTACGTTTACACAACATGGATTATTCAGGAGGAAATAAAAGTGAGGGAAGGTTCAGTAAAAGCACACATTACATTTTTAAGAGATTCTAGATCTGGTTTTTATTTAGTGAAACTGAATGTTGTGTTGAACTGAAATCATTGAGTTCTGTCAGAGCTCGACTAAAACATGCATTTATGAAAGTTAGGTACTGTGCTCTCTGCTCTGTGCTCTGCTCTGTGTTCTCTGCTCTGTGCTCTCTGCTCTGTGCTCTCTGCTCTGTGCTCTTTGCTCTGTGCTCTCTGCTTTGTGCTCTGTGTTCTCTGCTCTGTGCTCTGTGCTCTCTGCTCTGTGTTCTCTGCTCTGTGCTCTCTGCTCTGTGTTCTCTGCTCTGTGCTCTCTGCTCTGTGCTCTGTGTTCTCTGCTCTGTGCTCTCTGCTCTGTGCTCTCTGCTCCGTGTTCTGTGCTCTCTGCTCTGTGCTCTCTGCTCTGTGCTCTCTGCTCTGTGCTCTCTGCTCTGTGCTCTCTGCTCTCTGCTCTGTGCTCTCTGCTCTGTGTTCTCTGCTCTGTGCTCTCTGCTCTGTGCTCTCTGCTCTGTGCTCTCTGCTCTGTGCTCTCTGCTCTGTGCTCTCTGCTCTGTGCTCTCTGCTCTGTGCTCTCTGCTCTGTGTTCTCTGCTCTGTGCTCTCTGCTCTGTGCTCTCTGTTCTGTGCTCTCTGCTCTGTGCTCTCTTCTGTGCTCTCTGCTCTGTGTTCTCTGCTCTGTGCTCTCTGCTCTGTGCTCTCTGCTCTGTGTTCTCTGCTCTGTGTTCTCTGCTCTGTGCTCTCTGCTCTGTGCTCTGTGCTCTCTGCTCTGTGCTCTCTGCTCTGTGTTCTGTGCTCTCTGCTCTGTGCTCTCTGCTCTGTGTTCTCTGCTCTGTGCTCTCTCTCTCTGCTCTCTGCTCTGTGCTCTCTGCTCTATGTTCTCTGTGCTCTCTGCTCTGTGCTCTCTGCTCTCTGCTCTGTGCTCTCTGCTCTGTGTTCTCTGCTCTCTGCTCTGTGCTCTCTGCTCTGTGCTCTGTGCTCTCTGTTCTGTGCTCTGTGCTCTCTGCTCTGTGCTCTCTGCTCTGTGCTCTCTGCTCTGTGCTCTCTGCTCTGTGCTCTGTGCTCTCTGCTCTGTGCTCTCTGCTCTCTGCTCTGTGCTCTCTGCTCTGTGTTCTCTGCTCTGTGCTCTCTGCTCTGTGTTCTCTGCTCTGTGCTCTCTGTGCTCTGTGTTCTCTGCTCTGTGCTCTCTCTCTGCTCTCTGTTCTCTGCTCTGTGCTCTCTGCTCTGTGTTCTCTGCTTTGTGCTCTCTGCTCTGTGCTCTCTGCTCTGTGCTCTCTGCTCTGTGCTCTCTGTTCTGTGCTCTCTGCTCTGTGCTCTCTGCTCTGTGTTCTCTGCTCTGTGCTCTCTGCTCTCTGCTCTGTGCTCTCTGCTCTGTGCTCTGTGCTCTCTGCTCTGTGCTCTGTGCTCTCTGCTCTCTGCTCTGTGCTCTCTGCTCTGTGCTCTCTGCTCTGTGCTCTGTGCTCTCTGCTCTGTGCTCTCTGCTCTGTGCTCTGTGTTCTGTGCTCTCTGCTCTCTGTGCTCTCTGCTCTGTGCTCTGTGCTCTGTGCTCTGTGCTCTCTGCTCTGTGCTCTCTGCTCTGTGCTCTCTGCTCTGTGCTCTCTGCTCTGTGCTCTGTGCTCTCTGCTCGGTGCTCTCTGCTCTGTGCTCTGTGTTCTCTGCTCTGGCTCCAGGGAAAATCCAGTCACATCTCATCATCGTGGCTGACGTCTGTGGTCTGTCCTGACACACTCTGGGCTCAGGTCTCTGTCCCTCCACTCTCCCCCTATCTCACCTCCTCTATCTCTCTCCACCTCTTTCCCCCGTCTCCTTGTCCCTCTCACCCCTCCCTCTATATTAATGTTTTCCCAACTTTATTTTTTGTTTTTTGTAATTCTTTTTCAAAATTAGGAAATGATTGAAAGCTGCAGTTTTTCGTCCATATACATGTCACTGTAACAAAAAAAACACGTGGGTCGTATTTTGGGCTGAAGAAACTTTGAATTAATATACTGTGTATATATATAATATATATTCATTTCTTTGTTGTGTTTGTTGCAGATCTACAAAGTCCATCTACAGAATGGGGTTCACCTGTGATCAGTGTGGAAAGACCTGCAGCTCTGCTTCTGATCTAAAGGCCCACCACAGAACTCACACTGGAGAAAAACCATACGAGTGTGATCTGTGTGGAACATGTTTTACTACAAGAGGAAACCTCAAGGTCCACAACAGAATCCACACTGGAGAAAAACCCTTCAGCTGCGACGATTGTGATCAGAGTTTTAGACAAGAGGGTACTCTCAAAGATCATCAGAGGATCCACACAGGAGAGAAACCATTTGAGTGTGACCAGTGTGAAAAAACATTTAGGACCAAACGGCTGCTCTCACTACATCAGCATGTCCACCCAGGAGAGAAACCTCACCAATGTGACCAGTGTGAAAAGACTTTTACACGTTTATCTGACCTCACTGTGCACTACAGAATCCACACTGGAGATAAACCATTCGTCTGTGGAGACTGTGGGAAGAGGTTTACTCAGTCTTCCACCTACAAAGCACATGAGAGAATCCACACTGGAGAAAAACCATTTGCATGTGACTTCTGCAGTAAAACCTTTAAAACAGCAACACATCGCACAGTTCACCATCGGAGCCACACTGGAGAGAAGCCGTACGAGTGTGACCAGTGTGGAACAAGTTTTTCTACCAGAGGAAATCTTAACAAGCACAAAAGAATCCACAGAAGCCGTACGAGTGAAGGAGACAGAGCTGCATCGTGTGAACCCAGAGTCAGACTGTGCAGGATCACACTTCAGTCTGTCCATAAGTGCTGACACCACTGGATAATAATATGTACATAGTTTTAACTGTTTAATGTTGTTTATTAGGCGTTCAGAGAATTAGTTAATTGTTCCTGTTTTATATGTTGTTTTTTCTTTAAATTCATATGTGTTGTTTGTAAACACAGTAAAACTTTTTTTCTTGCATCTTTCTTTGATTTTTTTGTGTAATAGACTTTTAGTTTCCTCATCTACACTTTCTGTGCTTCACCTTTTGTTTCATATCAAGGTTCACTTGTCCAAAGGTGGATTTCATAAAGTTAGAACAGAGCAGAAAAAACCCTCTTACTTTAAAGGAGATGAGACTGTTCACTTTGTCTTTTCATGTTTTAGAATTTGGAATAGTCCTCAGAATCAGAATCAATTTATTGCCGTTTGCATAAAAAACTACATTGGAATACAAACAGGAGACACCGGGGACACCAACACCACACACACACACACACAAACAAAAATAATAAAAATAGCGAGACACAGTGAGGCAAATATAAAACTCCTAAAAGCATAATGAAAAGCTACGAAAAGAGCTGCAAAGAGAAGCAGATCTCAGGGCGCTCTGTTCAGTCTTATGACGCCTGAGGGAAGAAGCTGTTTGTATGCCGGGTGGTCCGGAATCTTCTCCCAGAGGAAAGAGGCTGGAACAAGGCCGCTCCACGATGACCAGAGGAGTCATTTACAATCCTCAGGGCACGGTTCAAGAGTCTGCTCTCATAAAGAGCCTCCAGAACGGGCATCTCACGGTTCACAGTCCTCCGAGCAGAACCACTTTGTTCAGAGCTCTTCTTTCTTTGGCAGTACCACTTCTTCAGAATCAGAATCATTTTTATTGCCACGTAAGTAACAGCAGGTCACAGACTTGGAAATTGCTTTGGCTCAGTGCAACAGTCAGAAAAAGATAATACAAATAAAGAATAAACACTTCTAAGGAATACATTTAAATACATTACATTTATAATAGAGTTACAGTTACTATTTACAATATACAAGTGCACATGGTGCACACAATGTAAGGTGACAGCAGTACAGTGAAGTAAAGTGACGTATGATGGGCAGTAAAGTGACTTTATAAAGGGCGGGGGGACAGGTTAAGAAGTGTTCAAGAGTCCAACAGCAGAGGGGAAGAAACTGTTCTTGTGGCGGGAGGTTCTAGTCCTGATGGACCGCAGCCTCCTGCCTGAGGGGAGTGGTTGGAATAGTCCATGTGCAGGGTGAGAGGGGTCGGCTGTGATACGACCAGCCCGGCCTCGAGCTCGGGCGACGTACAGGTCCTGCAGCGATGGAAGGCTGCGTCCGATCACTTCCTCTGCAGAGCGCACAATGCGCTGTAGTCTCTGTTTGTCCCTGACTGTGGCTCCAGCAAACCACACGGTGATGGAGGAGGTGAGGATGGACTCGATGATGGCCGTGTAGAACTGCACCAACATCTGTGCAGGCAGCTTGGCTTTCCTGAGCTGCCGCAGGAAGTACATCCTCTGCTGGGCCTTCTTGATGAGGGAGCTGATGGTCGGCTCCCACTTGAGGTCCTGGGTGATGGTGGTGCCCAGGAAACGGAAGGACTCCACAGAGGTGAGGGGGGAGTCCATCACGGAAGGTGGGGGCGGGGGAACAGTGCTCTTCCTGAAGTCCTCAATCATCTCCACTGTCTTCTGGGCGTTCAGCTCCCGGTTGTTACCACTGCACCAGGACACCAGCCGGTCCACCTCCCTCCTGTAGGCGGACTCATCGTTGTTGGAGATGAGTCCAATGAGGGTGGTGTCGTCCGCGAACTTGATCAGCTTCACGGAGTCGTGGCTGGAGGTGCAGTGGTTGGTATACAGGGAGAAGAGCAGGGGAGAAAGAACACAGCCCTGTGGGGCTCCTGTATTTATAATCCGAGAGTCCGAGACATTCTTCCCCAGACGCACTCGCTGCTTCCTGTCCGTCAGGAAGTCAGTGATCCACCTGCAGGTGGAATCGGGCACGTTGAGCTGGGAGAGCTTGTCCTGGAGCAGGGATGGCAGGATTGTGTTGAAGGCAGAGCTGAAGTCCACGAACAGGACCCTGGCGTAGGTCCCCGGGGAGTCCAGGTGCTGTAGGATGTGGTGGAGGGCCAGGTTAATGGCGTCGTCTACAGATCTGTTGGCTCTGTAGGCGAACTGCAGGGGGTCCAGGAGGGGGGAGGTGAGGGACTTGAGATGGGAGAGGACCAGGCGTTCAAATGACTTCATGACGACAGACGTAAGCGCTACAGGTCTGTAGTCGTTGAGTCCTGTGATCCTTTTGTGGCTAATCCTACTGTGGATATGCTTGATTGGTGTATTAAGGAGAATTTGTGGAAGGTGGCTGCTGCTCATTACAAAGTACAGGTCTCTAAGCAGGACAAGAAGCAGAAGCTTAAATCTGCGTTAATCTTTAAATTAGTTGAGAGGGGGATCCTTGCACCTGTGGAGTCGGTCGCACCTGGGGCTGGAGTGGTGGCATCCGACCCAGAAGTGCGTAAAATGGAGTTACAGCTTGAGATGAAGCGGTTGGAGTTAAAGGAACAAGAGCTTCAAGAGAATTTTGAGTTGCGTAGATTGGAGATTGAAGAAGTTTCTAGACGAGAGTTGGCTCGTTTATCCAGTCCAATCAGAGATCGGTTAATCACGGGTTTGATGTGAGCAAATGCATTCGTCTGATTCCGCAGTTTACGGAGAAGGATGTGGACCTGTATTTTGTGTCGTTTGAGCGGGTGGCTACTACCTTGAGTTTGCCAAAGGAAGTGTGGCACTTGCTGTTGCAATGTGTGTTTGTTGGACGGGCTCAAGATGCATTTGCAGCTTTGTCTCCTCAAGCAAGTGGGGACTATGAGGAGGTTAAAAAGGCAGTGTTAAGGGCATATGAGCTTGTCCCGGAGGCATATAGACAGAAGTTCAGATATATAAAAACTGAGGGTCACAATTATGTGGAATTTTGTCGTGAAAAGGTTGCATTGTTTGATCGGTGGTGTAGTGCGCTGTGTGTGAAGACATTTGAGCAGCTGCAGGAGCTAACGTTAATTGAAGAGTTTAAGAATTGTTTGCCTGAACGCATTGCTACATACATTAACGAACAGAAGTCTGTTACAGTTGCTGCTGCAGCAGTGTTGGCGGATGAATATGTGTTGACGCACCGTGAGTACAGTGGCAACTGGGAACAAGGAAGCCAAAGAGACGGGCTTAATTTCTTCCATGGTGGGCGCCAGCGTGGTGCCAATAATCAGAGCGTTAGTGAGAGTAGAGTGTGTAATCATTGTCACAAACAAGGACATGGTAAAGCGGACTGTTTCATGTTGAAGGCTGAGGTGTGGAATGGTCAGACAGGTCCGAGCAGAGCTGGTTTAGCTGCTCCAGGGGCGTTTGCAGCTTGTGCAGTTACTCGTGTTATGCCGCAAGCAGAGTCTAGCGAGGAGAAAGTTGTAAAAAATATTTCACGGCCTCTGTCTGTTTTTCCCCAGCCCAACCAGGCGGCAGAGGCAGTTCCTTCTGGTCCGACAGAGCCCTTTCAGCACTTGAGTATTAATTGTGTGGGTCCTTTACTTAGATCAAAGGCTGGATTTACGTACTTACTGACTGTTCTTTGTCAAAGCAAAATCCTGTGGTATATCCTTTGTGTTCTGTTACAGCTAACTCAGTGGTGCGGGAATTGTCACAGTTTGTTTTCTCAGGTCGTGAAACAGCTTCGTTTAAAGTCCTCCCAAGCGGAGAGCCAGTCACTTAAGTCACTCTTGCGCACTTACTGTATGGAGCTAGGTACGGACTGGGAGGAGGATCTGCCTTGGTTGATGCTGGCTGCGAGGGAGGTCTCTCAAAGTACCAGGGGTTGTCTGAGCAAGCTTGTGGCTGCTGAGGTTAGAGAGTCTGAACTGCCTAAAAGATGGTGGGATCATGTAAATGGGTTTAGGCAACGTCTTTATGCAGCGCAGGGCTTTGCTAAGGAGAAACCAGGGGTGACCAAAGCCAAAATTGAGTCACCAGTTGGCAGTTGTCCTGAGATGCACTCCTTTTGGCCTGGTGATCAAGTGATGGCCTTATGTCCTATTATAACATCTCCCTTACAAGCTAAATATTTTGGGCCGTATACAGTTCTTGAAAAAACATCTGAACAGCACTATTGGATCTTGATGCCGGAGCGCAGAAAGAGGGCACAGTTGTTTCATGTCAACTTTTTGGAGCCCTATTGTAAATGTCAGAGTGAAGTCCAGTTGAGTCGTACGCGCAAGCAGGGTGGTAGAGCGTTCTTCCCTTCTTCCTCTTGCCTATCACTAAGCAGGTGAAGTGTCCAGCATGCAGGGATCACACTGGCAGAGGAAGAATCCTGACCACCCGCCGCTGGTGGAGGAGCCAGTGTCCTGGGGCCGTCTAGGCGGCTGAGGTCAGCTGTTAATTTTTTTAAATGTCTGAGTTGTCTCCGACCCGGTTATCTGCCTTTTTTATGTCTCTTCGAGGTGCCATAAGGTGAATGGATGCCCTGTCTGTCGACCACCGTGCTAGACCACACCGGGACGGCATGTGGGAGTTTCCCTGTCCAGGGGCCACGGAAGATGCTGAGGTCTGCTGTGTTGTTGGCCAGGATTCCTACGGGAACCTGTCTTCTATGGGGGGGGGGGGGGGGGGGTTGACAGCCCCACACTAATGTGTTGTCTGTCTGTTGGAGGTGCAGTGCAGATGACCACACGGGGGAGCTGCAGGCCCAGCAGCTCCTCCCTACAAAAGGGCCGCTTCCTGTTGACTGCCCGCCTCTTCCCTTGACCTCCATCTTGGCCATTCGGCAGCCACCACACCACCATTATATTCTCTCTTTGTTATATTGTTTGCAATAAATGGCCCTACAGGGGTTCTGAATATTGGCCGTGTCTACTCTCCATCTTTTTATGTTGCGGCCTAGAGCCGGGTCGTAACAGGGCCCTTTAACGATGACAGATTAGGGCCCTTTAATGATGACAGATTAGGGCCCTTTAACGATGACGGATTAGGGCCCTTTAACGATGACAGATTAGGGCCCTTTAACGATGACAGATTAGGGCCCTTTAACGATGACGGATTAGGGCCCTTTAATGATGACAGATTAGGGCCATTTAATGATGACAGATTAGGGCCCTTTAATGATGACAGATTAGGGCCCTTTAATGATGACATGAAAATCTCACATATTGAAACTGAAACATTGTACAGTACTTTGTGACCATAAGTAAGATTACTCTTCACTAACTTCCTGACCGAGCACCATGAATGCATGACACCTGGTGTGAGTTAAGACCAGAGCGCAGTCGGACGTGCACATGGTGTTTGACTATGTAGGTCAGCCCTGATCAAAGCCGTGTGGAAGTGTCATCTCATAAAACCGTTAAGTGTTCTCTCCAACATGATCCAAACATTTAGACGAGGGACGAGGACAATAAGGGCTCGTCGCGGTCTCTCCGGCTGTTTACGACGCCACATGAATAACTGTATCTACACGGAGCGCACAAACCACTTCCAGACGCCGCTAATGGGACGAGGGCCTGACAGCGAGGCACGAGGAGAGCACAGGGACAAATCAAAGTTTCATAGACGGTATTATTGTCAGATGTCGGGAAGGAAAGGATTTACTGCTTCATCATGAATGGAATGTTTATTTTCTATGAAGATTATCAGAAATGAAATGGATGATGTTTTTACTGTTCATTCAGTCAGATGCTTTTGAAATGTTAAAGCCAAATGAACCAACTGGGACTCTGAGGAGCACAGGGACTGGCCTCCTGCTGGGACTCTGAGGAGCACAGGGACTGGTCTCCTGCTGGGACTCTGAGGAGCACAGGGACTGGTCTCCTGCTGGGACTCTGAGGAGCACAGGGACTGGCCTCCTGCTGGGACTCTGAGGAGCACAGGGACTAGCCTCCTACTGGGACTCTGAGGAGCACAGGGACTGGCCTCCTGCTGGGACTCTGAGGAGCACAGGGACTGGTCTCCTACTTGGACTCTGAGGAGAACAGGGACTGGCCTCCTGCTGGGACTCTGAGGAGCACAGGGACTAGCCTCCTGCTGGGACTCTGAGGAGCACAGGGGACTGGCCTCCTGCTGGGACTCTGAGGAGCACAGGGACTGGTCTCCTACTGGGACTCTGAGGAGCACAGGGACTGGCCTCCTGCTGGGACTCTGAGGAGCACAGGGGACTGGCCTCCTGCTGGGACTCTGAGGAGCACAGGGACTGGTCTCCTACTGGGACTCTGAGGAGCACAGGGACTGGCCTCCTGCTGGGACTCTGAGGAGCACAGGGACTAGCCTCCTGCTGGTGGGAACATGGGGAGGCTGCATTTGAGTTTTAGGCAGCTAAAATCTGGAACAGTCTTCCTGAAAATGTGAGACAGGCCTCTTCCCTGACAATGTTCAAATCCAGGTTAAAAACAGTTCAGTTTATCTGCTAACAAGGTTGCCCGGAACCTGCTGGAACCCCAAACCTGCTGAAACCCAAACCCTGCTGGAACCCAAACCTGCTGGAACCTAAACCCTGCTGGAACCCAACCCCTGCTGGAACCCAACCCCTGCTGGAACCCAACCCCTGCTGAAACCCAAACCCTGCTGGAACCTAAACCCTGCTGGAACCCAACCCTGCTGGAACCCAAACCTGCTGGAACCCAACCCCTGCTGGAACCCAAACCCTGCTGGAACCTAAACCCTGCTGGAACCCAACCCTTGCTGGAACCCAAACCTGCTGGAACCCAACCCCTGCTGGAACCCAAACCCTGCATGGAACCCAAACTTGCTGAAACCCAATCCCTGCTGGAAACCAAACCTGCTGGAACCCAACCCCTGCTGGAACCCAAACCCTGCTGGAATCCAAACCTGCTGGAACCCAAACCCTGCTGGAACCTAAACCCTGCTGGAACCCAACCCTTGCTGGAACCCAAACCTGCTGGAACCCAACCCCTGCTGGAACCCAAACCCTGCTGGAACCCAAACTTGCTGAAACCCAAACCCTGCTGGAACCCAAACCTGCTGGAACCCAACCCCTGCTGGAACCCAAAACCTGCTGGAACCCAAACCTGCTGGAACCCAAACACTGCTGGAACCCAACCCCTGCTGGAACCCAAACCTGCTGGAACTCAAACCCTGCTGGAACCCAAACCTGCTGGAACCCAACCCTGCTGGAACCCAAACCCTGCTGGAACCCAAACCTGCTGGAACCCAAACCCTGCTGGAACCCAACCCCTGCTGGAACCCAACCCCTGCTGAAACTCAAACCCTGCTGGAACCCAAACCTGCTGGAACCCAAACCTGTGAAACCCAAACCCTGCTGGAACCCAAACCTGCTGGAACCTAAACCCTGCTGGAACCCAACCCCTGCTGGAACCCAACCCCTTCTGAAACCCAAACCCTGCTGGAACCCAAACCTGCACGAACCCAAACCCTGCTGGAACCCAAACCCTGCTGGAACCCAAACCCTGCTGGAACCCAAACCCGCTGGAACCACCGCTGGAACCCAACCCCTGCTGAACCACCCTGCCGTCTGCTCCTTCACTGATGGACAAGCAGGAGAAACCCCCATCGCCGCTGTTTTTATTTTTCGTCTCATTCTCTCTGTTCTTTGCTCCATACCCTCCGTCCGGCCCATCCCTCTCCCAACCCCTGCTGGAACCCAACCCCTGCTGAAACCCAAACCCTGCTGGAACCCAAACCCTGCTGGAACCCAAACCTGCTGAAACCAACCCCTGCTGGAACCCAAACCCTGCTGGAACCCAAACCTGCTGGAACCCAAACCCTGCTGGAACCCAACCCCTGCTGGAACCCAATCCCTGCTGAAACCCAAACCCTGCTGAAACCCAAACCCTGCTGGAACCCAAACCCTGCTGGAACCCAAACCTGCTGGAACCCAACCCCTGCTGGAACCCAAACCTGCTGGAACCCAAAACCCTGCTGGAACCCAACCCCTGCTGGAACCCAACCCCTGCTGGAACCCAACCCCTGCTGAAACTCAAACCCTGCTGGAACCCAAACCTGCTGGAACCCAAACCTGCTGGAACCTAAACCCTGCTGGAACCCAACCCCTGCTGGAACCCAACCCCTGCTGGAACCCAACCCCTGCTGAAACCCAAACCCTGCTGGAACCTAAACCCTGCTGGAACCCAACCCTTGCTGGAACCCAAACCTGCTGGAACCCAAACCCTGCTGGAACCCAACCCCTGCTGGAACCCAAACCTGCTGGAACTCAAACCCTGCTGGAACCCAAACCTGCTGGAACCCAACCCCTGCTGGAACCCAACCCCTGCTGGAACCCAACCCCTGCTGGAACCCAACCCCTGCTGGAACCCAAACCTGCTGGAACTCAAACTCTGCTGGAACCCAACCCCTGCTGGAACCCAACCCCTGCTGAAACTCAAACCCTGCTGGAACCCAAACCTGCTGGAACCCAAACCTGCTGAAACCCAAACCCTGCTGGAACCCAAACCTGCTGGAACCTAAACCCTGCTGGAACCCAACCCCTGCTGGAACCCAACCCCTGCTGAAACCCAAACCCTGCTGGAACCTAAACCCTGCTGGAACCCAACCCTTGCTGGAACCCAAACCTGCTGGAACCCAACCCCTGCTGGAACCCAACCCCTGCTGAAACCCAAACCCTGTTGGAACCCAAACCTGCTGGAACCCAAACCCTGCTGGAACCCAAACCCCTGCTGGAACCCAACCCCTGCCGTCTGCTCCTTCACTGATGGACAAGCAGGAGAAACCCCCATCGCCGCTGTTTTTATTTTTCGTCTCATTCTCTCTGTTCTTTGCTCCATACCCTCCGTCCGGCCCATCCCTCTCCCAACCCCTGCTGGAACCCAACCCCTGCTGAAACCCAAACCCTGCTGGAACCCAAACCCTGCTGGAACCCAAACCTGCTGAAACCAACCCCTGCTGGAACCCAAACCCTGCTGGAACCCAAACCTGCTGGAACCCAAACCCTGCTGGAACCCAACCCCTGCTGGAACCCAATCCCTGCTGAAACCCAAACCCTGCTGAAACCCAAACCCTGCTGGAACCCAAACCCTGCTGGAACCCAAACCTGCTGGAACCCAACCCCTGCTGGAACCCAAACCTGCTGGAACCCAAACCCTGCTGGAACCCAACCCCTGCTGGAACCCAACCCCTGCTGAAACTCAAACCCTGCTGGAACCCAAACCTGCTGGAACCCAAACCTGCTGAAACCCAAACCCTGCTGGAACCCAAACCTGCTGGAACCTAAACCCTGCTGGAACCCAACCCCTGCTGAAACCCAAACCCTGCTGGAACCTAAACCCTGCTGGAACCCAAACCTGCTGGAACCCAAACCCTGCTGGAACCCAACCCCTGCTGGAACCCAAACCTGCTGGAACTCAAACCCTGCTGGAACCCAAACCTGCTGGAACCCAACCCCTGCTGGAACCCAACCCCTGCTGGAACCCAAACCCTGCTGGAACCCAACCCCTGCTGGCCGTCTGCTCCTTCACTGATGGACAAGCAGGAGAAACCCCCATCGCCGCTGTTTTTATTTTTCGTCTCATTCTCTCCGTTCTTTGCTCCATACCCTCCGTCCGGCCCATCCCTCTCCCCACTCCCCCCCACCCCCCTCCTCTCCCCCTCTTCCCCCTCTCCCACATCCTCCTCTCCTTTACATGCACAGGGGAAAAACATAGACTTGGAGGTAATTATCCCTGGATCTGTTCTCCATTTATTCACTTCTGGGATGGTAAAGCTGATTTCAAATGCCCTGCGGTTTTATTGGCCCCGGATGCAGGTCGGAGGCCCCACACGCCCGTCCATGTTCTCCTCAAAAACACAAAGATCACAAGTTTGAGTAGAGGGACTGTGTGTGTGTGTGTGTGTGTGTGTGTGTGTGTGTGTGTGTGTGTGTGTGTGTGTTTTGACCGGCAGGGGATTGGCTGAACTCCTCTGACACTGGAAAGGAGAAGCATTTGCGGAGGGGTTTCTGTCTCCGTCAGCAGAGAGCGAGGCGTGGCGAGGGGCTGTGGTGGTCCATGTTCCAAAACACGCTTATTTTAGGGTCAGTCGCTGGAACACATGACGAGCAGGATCGTTATGAAGCGCGTGTGAAATGTCAAAACCAGAAACACAACTTTGAACTCGATCTCTCTCTGTTTTAAAGATTTTGGGTTTTGCATTGTTGGAAAAAATATATACAATGAGACTATTTTGTTCATAAGTTCTTATTATTGTGAATAACTGTAAATATATCACTGACTAAGCTGAGCTGTAGCAACCACATGATTAAAGTTAAATTAAATTGACCTATGACCCTGAAGGTTGTGGGTTTGAGCCCATCTAAATTCCTGACTCAAACTCATGTCTGCTGCGTTGTGTCCTTGGGCAAGACACTTAACCTCCCTTTACCCAGATCCCAGTGTGGACTCACCACCTGCAGGAGGATCAGTGCGGGGCTGGTGCTCTGTGAATTTCCATCCCCCCGACCCAGAAATGGATGAAGGGGAAGAAAATGGATTGATGGAAGAAGCAAGTATATAATCTCTATATTTAGCATAACACGGAAGCAAAACTAAAATCTCTAACTGTAGCAAAATAAAAAAGCAAGTATAAAATCTTTAGCTTTAGCATGATAAAGACGCAAGTTTAGAATCTCTAACTATTGCATTAGCAAGTGTAAAATACTTCATATTTTAGCACAATGAATATATAGTAGTCTGTACATGTTAGCTGCATGAGGGTCTGGGACACATGTGGTTCTATATTGAACATTCTGACATTATTCATGTGAAGAGATGAATGTGAATCAGTGTTCGCTAGTCCTCATTGTTCATTGTACAGTCTGACAGCAGCAGGAAGGAAAGCCCCGTGAAACCTCTCCTTCTCACAGCGAGGGTGGATCAATAACAAAGCAGTACTAGCTTCTTTAAACTCCTCTTACACAAAGAATCTAATAAACCATAAATATAATGAGGTATTTACATTAAAAACAAAGACTTGTAGAAGCTTGGAAGCCAAAGTTTATTATTAAAGTAACAAGTCAAATCCATTTCAAACATATCGGTCTTTCATGTGCTTCAGTTTGATGTTATACAAAGGAACATGGGTTAACATAAGACACTGACCAAAGTGACAGGCACATGTTTGTTAGTACACAACATCAACGCACACGTCTCCACCTTAAACCAAGGAAGGTTCGATTCAGTCCATTCAAACACACAAAATGTTTTGTTGAAAACAAAACATTTTCAGTGAAGTGTGTGCCACATGTTTGCACCTGGAGCTGGCAGTGCTGCTTAGGTTTAAAATCATATAAAATCATGACTGGGGTCCGTGTGAATAACTCTCTCGGCACTAATGGCTTGTTGCTGATTGTGTGTTTTTTGCGCACAGTGTGTGGTGCTTGTCGAAGTACTCTCCTCTCTGACGTGGGAGTAGGATAAATTAAAAGTTGGTGGAACCGCCCCGCAGTTGCAAAGTGACAGACGGTGATAGAGGCAGCAGGAGTGTGGAGGACGCGGGTCTCCAACCTACGGTTTGGGAACTACCAGTAACTTGCTGGTAGCTCGCCACCCTCTTCAAAGTAGCTTCCCAAAGGATCATTTTATGAGTAAATATAAAATTGATAATGATTATTTTATGGGTGTTACAGCTAATTTCCACAGGAGGCGATAACAGCGCGTAAGTGTTGACTGCGCGCATGTGAGAGTAACATGACTTGGCTGACTGTACACTGGCCGTGCGCAGGTCTGCGGCTTTTGATGCTCTCTCTGGCCCTCAGGTGTGCCTATCATCTTGCCGGAGTGGGAATATGTTTATTGTTGTCTAAATCTTGAATTGCATGCGTGTTATTTGTATGTTGAGATGTGTATAAAATGTACACCACCTCCTGACTACCGAACGCCGACGTCCACATTGATAAATGCCGAAAAGTGTACATTTTTTGCGTACGCCTCATTTACACCCTGATTTGGCCGTACACAAGTTTAATAAATGAGGGCCTCTGTGTAGTCTATACAGAAGTGTAGAGTACCAGTGTAGCTCTCCAAGGTAAAAGGTTGGAGAGCGCTGGGTGTGGAGCAGTGTGGGGAGTGTGAGCAGAGATCTCCTGAAGTCTGCAGTTTGTGAGACTCCATCAGGACCTGACTCTGTCCTCATCCCAGACGAGGAAACAGGACAGACACGGATCATCTGAACGTTAGAATCGGTTTGCTCCAAGGTAGCGCTGATGGTTGTGACGTATGTAGGAAGAAGGGCCATAACATATTTATTTATGGATTTAAATGACTTGGTCTACGTCTGTCTCGATCACTTCGTTTACTGCTGAACTTCAAACGGACGTCACCTCTGCTCACTGATTGCTCTGCCGTTCTACGATCTCTGACCTTGTTAGCTGTTAGCTACTGGAGTGAAATAAAATTGTGTGAAGGCACTAGGTGGTGCAAGCTTTTCCAGGCAGCATCGTTCCAAACATAAACACTCTGTCACTGATCAGTCATTTCTCATAAATGTGTTTTTATCAAAGGGCTGCTGGTTTAAAAACTGAAGACAAATGGGGAGGTACAAATAAACCATAAAAACCAGACTGTGGCCAAATGCAAAACTTGTTTATACTTAGCTCGGTGCTCATCAGTAGTTGATATCAACAATGGAATCTTCCATTTCTCGGAGGACAAGGATCTGTACAAACTTTGCTGTCCAGCAACAATTGTGATCTTCAAAATCCTAACTCTGCAAGAAAATTCAGCAACTCAATGTGGGCACACTGGTCCAGTCCTGCTTTGGTCCAAATAGTGGTCCTAAGGATGAGACGGACTGTTTTCAACCCCAGGACGAGCGGGGAAAGTGTGAAAGGATTTGGGAATGTCCAACTGTGACGTGGAGCTCCAGGCCAGGGCTGAAGCAAGAGCCTGGGATCGAAGTGCGGAGGTTTGGCCTGGAGCAGAGAGTCTGGGACCACAGATAGACCTCTATAGTCTGTGAGGGACTGTGAGGGACCGTGAGGGGCCATGAGGGGCCAGGGTTCAGGGCTGCAGGGTGGGAGGGGGGCGAGAGGGCGGACCGCAGGGCAGACCAGGAGGAGTGCGTGAGGGAGGAGGCCCCGGAGGCAGCTGGCCACAGGGGAGCGCTTTGCAGGGAGGGCTGGCACTGAGGGGCACAGAGCTGTAGTCCGGAGGCGGGGGGCAAGGGGCTCCGCCGGGGCTGCGGGGCAGGGCCTTGGCCTCATCCTTCACTCGGGTGAAGTTTATACAGCGACCCTGAACACAGCAGAGAAAAGGAGCATGTGTCATCACGGTTCTTCTATGGCTGTGACTTACAAACTGAATATGGCTACAGCAATTATTACATACTCAGAATCATCAGAATTTCACTCTGAACCACAGCGGAGGGAATGGTTAATACCAAGTAGACCGTTGTATTCAGGTGTGTCCTATAGTCCATGGCTACAAAACCATGCTAACCACAACTTGAGCGTGTCCAGTCTGAACACAGTAAAGTGCTAAAAGAGCCCATGTGTAAATCGTGATCCTCTGAGACTTCCTTAAATGTAAATTGTGGAAAGACAAACACAGCGCGCACACAATGTTCTACTAAACTTTGAGCCCTTTTGAGAAAACCCATGTCGTCTCCGCTGTCGGCCTCAGAGGGACGAGGAAATCAAATCCAAACATACATTTTCTTCCAGCCTTTGTAAAAAGTGCTGAGTAGTCCTTTCAAACATCTACATGCAGTAGTGTATGTGCTGCAGGGCAGAGAGGAGGCCACGCGTGTGAGCAGAGGACACGGATCCTCAACTTCAAGCAAGATAGAAGACACACAATGGATCACAAAAGTACAACTTGGACTTTTGATTACTCGTGCCGGGAAATGGCCAAAATGGGAAGATTCGATAGTCTTGCGATATTTAGGCCACAATTCAATATTATTGCGATTCTTACCATAATGCGATTCGATTCTGCGATATATTGAGATTCATGTTCATGTAAAAGACATTTTAAAAATTGATGATAAATAGGACAAATCAAATAATAGAATATGGCAATACTGAACACAATCGATTCTATCCCCAAACCGCTAATGCTAACTCAAAACAGCACTTATAGATCTATCGACACACAAACAGTAGATTATTTTCAAACTATAAACTACTAATTTTTTCAAGTTTGTATCTATATTTTGTTAAAGGGTTGTAAGAGCAGATTTAGACACATTTCTATCAGGTGTCGATCTACAGAGCTGATCAGGCATTCCTGCTCTCCGGTGAGTTTATGTGAACAGCAGAGAGACACGAAGAGGAAGAGGGAAATACGCAGGGCGTGTTTATGTGATTAGGGCCGTGGTCAGATCAGAGTTTATAGACTTTCTCCTCGACCGTTGGTTTAATGTTACATGAAAATCTGAGGTTTATGATTGTCAAAATGTAGCTTCTCTTAAACCTTAGCTACGGCAAATACTGTTGTTTTGTTCTGAAAGACCATAGTAAGAACAAAGTAACAGACAAACGTGAAGTGAAAGCAGTCTCTAGAAGTGAAGGTTTCATACCCTAAATTATACTTGCTTCTTTAATACGCTAAAGTTAGAGATTTTAGACTTGCTTCTTTATTATGCTAAGGTTATATATTTTAATTTTGTCTAGTTTAGTGTCTAATCTCCTCATCTAATTAACATATCTTGTTGAATTGATACTAGCAAAAACATACACTTTTGCTTTCACTGCATTGTTCTTTGTCACTTTAAGATTTAATAATATAAATAAATAACTAAAAATCACAAAAAAATCAATCATAAAGATGTCCAAATGTGCAGAGAGCCTTCGTTTTGAGTCTCGGTGTCACACGATCCAGTATTTAACGACTGCTGAACTTTTGATGACGGAGGGGAAAGACCCAAAATGATCCATTAGGCAAATTTCACATGAAAAGTTTTGGCCCTTGTTTTAAGACCCACGTCCCACGAGAGAATCCACGTCATGTGACCAGTGAGAGTGGAGTGGCTTTGACAGCCCGATGATGTCACTGGATGTGGGTTTTAAGGCGGCTGCAATTTTCTGTATCGAGTTCATGATCATCTCAGAGGTATAATTGTGCTAAAGTGTTATTGGCTCTGATGGACATGTCTGGGTCAATAATTAAAAGAGTTTGGGGTAGTGTTTCTGTTGTACTTTGTGCTGAATGAAAATGTGTATTCCAAAGTGGTTTTACAGCAAATGGCAAATAAACTCAATCTGAATAACACTAAACAAAATTTTAAAATCATAAAAACAAAGCAGAAATGAATGAATGTCGCTCCAAACTCCACCAGTCTTGGGCAACATACATAATTATTATTATTATTTTTTATTTTTATTTTTATTTATTTTTTGTGTTATATATTCATTTACTTAATTTATTTATCATTATTATTTTTTTGTATTATTAACCTTATATTTATTTTTGCTTATTTTCTCTTTTTTGGGTATTTTTTGTTTCTTTTTTTCAAATAACTGTGGTCATACCGTCTGTGAAATGCTTAAGGTATGACTGCAAAAGAAAACCAATAAAATATAAATGACAAAAAAAAACGTCATTATGTTTGACCTGTTACTGGTATTTCAAAGTAATTTGTTAATAAAAAATTACTGACTGCATCTTTAAATGTAATCTGGTATGAAAGTCATGTACCCCAGCTTTAAATGGATCCTTGTGTGAATCGATGTGTAGGAACTGCATCTGTGCCTATAGACTTTAACGTCCACCGCAGGAGACATAAGAGCTTCATGTTTGCGGCGGCTTCGTGACGTAAAACACAAGAGGCGCTAAGCTGTTGTTGACTTAACACTAGAACTCCCACAGCCGTCATTTTGACTGCTCCCATTCAAACCAATTCTGAGCCGGGACTTTAACGCTTTGGTTAAGATTAATTTAACGCGTTACATTTCGCACCACAGAACGTTTGTCTTTGGGATGAGTTGCGGAGGACAGATTATGCTTCGGACAACAACAAACTACAGTGTTTTCTATCACCTGGAGGATCGCCTCGATGATAAACATAGAGCAGCTAGCTGTTAGCATGTTAGCACCAGTACAAAGACTTGCACCTGAGCCTCTACCATGGATCTATAATAATAACTGGATAGGGTATTACTAGCTTACAGCTGTCCCACCCATGGGCACAGGGGGCGCTGTGGTACTGCAGACTAAATTTACGTGGGCTACCCAGAAAAAAGTCCCATAGAACTCAATGTAAATTAAAACAGCTCGACCTCAGCTGACAGAGAACCTGACAGAGAACCTACAGCTTCCAGAAAAATTAGATTTTGTGGGAATTTCTGTGTCCCTTGTCATCCTGAAATGTTTCTCTGCTTAAATCCTTCTGTTTTCCTTCCCGCTCTGACTCCGCTCTGCTGCTGCTCTGATCAGCAGCTCTGATTGGTCAGAGCGCAGCCGAGCCCCTCTGTGCACGTGCATGTGAGCCACACACGCATGTTTGGCACAAAGCATCATGGGAGCTCGTCCACTGCACAGAACCAGGAGGACCAGACGATGCACAAACATAGACAAGTTCTGCTAATCCGCTTTACTGAAAAGTCCTTTGCTCCGCTTGCTTGATCCGAATCAAAAGCGGACCAAACTTTTTTCTTTTGCTCCGGTTCGTATTCAGACTGTACTTTTTGCAAGTGAACTTTTTTATATAAACATATCGACACGTGTGACGATCGGCGCTCCTATTGGACAGCAGAGCTCACGGAGGATAGATGCGGAACCGGAGGAAAACATTGAGGGATCGTATGTGCAGCATGTCTGCTCTGCCTATGTTTGCTCTTTTTAGAGCAAAACCACCTTCAACAGCAGCTCATATGACGCAGGCGAAACACGTTGTTTTAAATATTGGAACAGCGTCGGAGAATGCGTGAGGAGAAAGACGAAGGAGACTCTGTCTGTGCGCTCCGTGTCCTGTCCTGTCCCACACATGGATCTATTATAATAACGGCCCTGTTCAGCATTGTGGATAAACCATGGATCTATAATAACCACGGGACAAACAGACGCTGAGGATCAGGTATGAACCAAAGAACACAATTCACTACATGATGCGGAATATTGCTCTTTGAGACATGAGTCAAACAGTGTCAGGCTTTTAATAATGGAAATGGTTTGAAGATGCTGCCATTAACATCACTGTATACTGTGAACAGTTTTAACTCCATAAGCCTGTTGCACAGCGTCTCCTCACTGCTCCAGGTCTGCACACGGCTCAGTGTTGTTAGCAGCGTTAGCAGCATAGTTAGCCGCTGTGACGCATGGCTAATTCCTCAGTTTCTGTCTGCGGCTTGTTAAGCCCAAAAAATGCACACGTATCTTGGAGTTGTGTCGGATCGACACCGGATGTATTCAGACCTGATTCGACTTGGACCAGAATTCGTTTGGAAGCGGACCGAGACCACCTCAAAAAGTGGGTCTCGGTTCGGTTCTTTGGTCCGGACCAGGATTCGTTTGTGTGTATTCAGACCTGCATAAAAGATTCGGATCAGAGTTCCAAACGAATCCTGGTCCGTTTAAAGTGGAGCAAATGTGCAGGTCTGAATACACCCTTAGATCACTGAGAGGGGCAGAATATAAGACTCCAGTTTTATGTTTATTATGCTGTTGCTACTTAATGCCACTGGTCTGTTGGACTTGGTTGAAAAAGATTAACAATATCTTGTTGCTAAAGTGTATCTATTCATTCAATGGTATGCTAACATCCATATGAAAAAAAAATACTTCTCAAATTTTACTTTTTAAATGTTACTCTTTTTTATTGTAATACTTATTAGTATTTTATTTAATCTTCTGATCTGTTACCTTGAATAATAGATCCTGTTTTATGTGTGTAATCTGTGCTCTTATTTCCTCCTTTTTTGTACTCTGCAGTAAAGGTACAGAACAGACCAAAAGTTTGGACACATTTTCTCCGTCACTGAGTTTCTTTTCATGACTATTGCCTGTAGATCCACATCAGGAGAGTGATGATGCTGGGCCACATGACCTCCACAGTTACCGGAGCGGGACTCTGAGGAGCACAGGGACTGGCCTCCTGCAGGTCCCAGAGTCAGGACTAAACATGGGGAGGCAGCGTTTCAGATTCAAGCTAAAATCTGAGGGATTGAACCTTTACTCTTTTTAATGTGCTGTGATTATTTAAGCTTTTAATGTCTTGTGTGATTGTTTGGTTTTATTGAGCACTTCCGTTTGCCTTGTGTACAAACTGTGCTAAACAAAAAAACCTGCCACGACGTAAGCGCATTGACCTAGATATACAAACTTTTTATGGATTGAAAGCAACCTCCCCGGGTGGAGTCCTCAAAGTCAAAACACGTGTGGGCTGACTTCTTCGCGCAGGAACACACTAAAGCTGACACATCGAGCTGCGTGGATCCGTCTCGCCGAGTTCTTTCTCTTTATGGCGTCTAATGTAAAGCACGTGTCCCGCTCGGATCGCCACGCCGCACACACGCCAAGACACGCCATCCTACCACGTCACTAAGGTCTTGTAAGATCTGTTTATGTGACCGTTTCATCTCCCAGGACCCGGCATAGATTCACACTCAAAGCACAATGCATCGTAGCCACTTTTCCCCCGCTGTAAAAGGACATTTTCTGTCTATCCAAGCAGAATGACTTCACGGTGTACGGCAGACTGTGACTTCATGTTTTAACACCTCCATGTAGGAAAAGTGTAGTGTACTCCGGGGAAAATGAGGCATTGAAGTAAAATGAAATCAGTTAAGAAGCCAAAATGTGAATGGTTTTCTCGCTCCCATTGTAATATGAAATAATAATAATAATAAAGCGCTTTTTTGGACACTCAAAGAGGCTTCATATGTTATTATTATTTCACTCCATACACAGCGGTGATTAACTAATGTAGCCACAGCTGCCATGGGGCACACTGACAGGAGCAAGGAAACCATTCACACACACACACACACTAGACTCATTCTAAGCAATTAATGTGGGTGAAGTGTCTTGCCAAAGGACACTTCACCACTGAGACTGACCTCATTTAGTAAATAGAGAGCAGGGATGGACTAGTTTTGGGTTCTTGGGCCCAGAGCCTTCCCGGGTTCTCTATCTTTCCCGCCATCTCTCTTTGGGGTATGATATTTTCTGTTATGTCTGAATGTATCTCGTTATAATTCAATGTTATTAAATGTCCTCTTTTAAATCTACTGTTTTGGGCCTAGTATGTATTAGCAATGATTATATTAATTTGATAACAGGCAGTTTGGCACTTTACAGCCGCAGCCGCCCCACTGTGGCACCTGGTGTTCTCAGAGGTCTCCCATCACAGTACTAACCATGCCCTGCCCTGCTTTGCTTCAGAGGTCTGACAGGATCTGGCTTCCTCCTGCAGTAGTTAGCGATGAAATGATTGAATTAGCAGCAAAGTGAATATCTCCTTGTGTCCTGTGTGATAATATTAAATCCTTTGATCTTAAATTAACAGACAAACTAAAGTCGAAATAGATCTGAAAAACATTTAAAGTGATGTATTGTTGAGTGAAAGCAGATTCACTCACATGATCTCCAGGTTGAGGCCTCATCAGAGAGACTTGGTCGTAGCCGCGACGGAACAAAGCCCAGATGGCGTCCAGTTTACCCTGAAACAAATACATTCATTAAAGGTGCAGTTAGCGATGTTGTTAGCTTAGCCGTTAGCACCAACTGGAAAACACTCCCCCCTCCCTTCCATCCCCTCCCTCTCCACCAAACCAAACATCCAGCATTTTCTATTCAGCAGGGAGAGAGGGAGGCAAACGTGAAATTGGCATTTTCAAAAAAAGAAATGTATACAATTTTGTCGACTACAGGCATCTGGTCAATTTATTGGTTTTATTTTGATATTGGTTCTTTTCAGTGTTTTCATGTCAGTGTTGATGTCTGAAACCCTGGATTTTGTTATTTCTGAGTTTTTCTGTATGACAGGTATATAGGGGGATTTTCTACTTCCGGGTGGATCATCAAGACTATTGGTCCTATCGGCGGTTCTTTCCTAAATACCTTTAAATCTTTTATCATTGGCAATCCTGCATTTTGGTTCCTTCTTCTGTTTTTGCCACATGACAGCATTGGCTCGTCTCTGGCGACTTGCGAAATTGTCTTTAGGAGGATTTTCAGACTTTTCACATCAAATAAAACCAAATTTAAGACCTTATTTGGTGTATGAGAACATGCATGTGTCATCTGTAGACATTTTGTCACAGTTTTGTCACATAAGTCTCAACTTCAGCCTAAACCCCTCACAGTCATTATTTTTTACAATATTTAAGGACATTAACATTTATGGACCAATGACTCTATGTCACCGTGTCAAAGTCAAGGCCCAGGGGCCAGATTCGGCCGACCAAATAATTGTTAATGGCCCATACAATTATTTTTTATTATTAGTAGTTTACTATTATTATTATTATTATTATTATTATTATTATTATTATTACTAACTATTTATTATAATAGTTTGCATGTTCTCCCCGTGTCTGCGTAGGTTTCCTCCGGGTACTCCGGTTTCCCCTACCACTAAAAATATGTACAATAGGTCTGGCATGCGCCTCCTGTACTGGCCCCTCCCATCTCTGTGTGGAGTGAGAGACAAATGCCCAAAAATTAACAATTGTAAACCGCTTTGTGACTCAGATTTGCAGTAGAAAGGCGGTATATAAATAAAGATTACTTACTTACTTACTAAAAGTCATGTTAAAATACCTTCATAATGTAAAAAACTATGAAAAGAAAAGCAAATCCCTTTTATTGTTTCGGCCCCGACCAGTTCCTATGTTTTTAATCGGCCCCTGACCCAAATGAGTTGAACCCCCGTGATCTATGTGTTCGTTATCGCTGCATTTCCTGCGTTTGAACTTTTTGATTCTCTGATCTGCGTTGGCGAATCCACAACTGTGTAAATCTCTGGTGCCTGTGCTCACCCGGATGGGCGTGTACCACTTGCGGTTCTGCGGCGCCCTCTTGCTGTGGGGTTTCTTGGGTTTGGGCTCGTAGGGCTCATACTCCTGCTCCGGCATCTTCACCACCGCATTCTTGGGTTTCTCCAGCTTGGCCCCTTCCTCGGTGGAGCCTTTCCCTCCCCAGCGCACCTACGCACAACCCACAAGATTATAGCCTGGCGTAGAGAGAAATGTTGATCCCGGGAATGCAAAACTGAGACATATTTTTTGGTTGTGTGTATTTTTGCACCTCCATTCTTTTGATGCCCCCGATGCCTCTGCCTCCGTAATAGGACGCATCCACGGTCGGCCATTTCTTTTTGGGAAAACCGTCGTCATCGTCGTCGGACTCCTGTAGAGGATGCAGTTTATTTGCCATTTGCAGTAAAACCCCATTGGAATACACGTGCACGAGACAAGTACATGGATAACACAAGCTAAAAAAGTACATGAAGCAAAAGTGCGCTCTGGCTATTTATGATTTTAATCCTGTGTGTGATTTTAATGTTTTGTGTTTTTTATTTTTTTTTTTTTTTTTTATTGTTTATTTGGTTGGGACAGTACATGTTCATGAACACATCTCTCCAGTTTGTAGCCATGGGTTAATTTGCATCTGTTGTCCCACAGTCGCACTCACAAACACACACTCACTCACCCTGAACTATTGCACATGTTTAAGTGGTAGGGGAAACTGGAGTACTCGGAGGAAACCTACGAAGACACAGGGAGAACATGCAAACTCCACTAAGAAAGGCCCTGTTCCGACCGGGATTCGAACCCGAATGTTCTTGCTGAGAAGTGAGAGTGCTAACCACTCAGCCATCGGGATTTTAATTGTATTTTTTATGTTTATGTAGATGTAAAGGCGCTTGTGTCGCCTTTGCAGGAAAAGCGCTTGACAAATGAAAGTTGATTGAATAATCATTTAAATACAAAAACAGTCAGTCACGTTGTAACTTAAGAGAAAGAACAATAGTACGTACTGGCTCAGGAGGAGGAGGAGGAGGCGGCTCTTTGATCACCTGCAGAAGTAACGGAGAAAAATCTATTAGAATCAGAATCAGAATAATTTTTTATTATTTGTATTACCATTGTGAGTAACAGGAAGTTACAAACTAGGAATTATATCAATATATTTATGTACCTATCTATTGACCAATTTGTCTATCTGTCCATCTATCTATCCATCTATCTATCTAAACCTACACCCACAGTTCTCCTCATCCATCCGTCCATTTTCTTCTGCTTCATCCGTTGCCGGGTCGCGGGGGCAGCAGTCTAAGCAGAGACGCCCAGACTTCCCTATCCACACACACTTCCTCCAGCTCGTCCGGGGGGACCCCAAGACGTTCTGTTGTGGCGAGTTTCATATATTAGAATATATTGTACTAAAATTCACTGATATATTTGCAGACAAAGGCGTCTTGTCCTGCACCAAAGGCTTTCACTTTCACATGACCTTCTCTGAGGCGACGGTACCATGTACCACTCCTTTGCTCGTTATAATGTTAAATGTTTGACAGGTGTATTATCATTCTTTGCCCTCCCTTCTTTTACCTCGTCTTCCTGCATAACTCAACCCACCTTACCCCCACTGTGGCATGTCTTGTTCTTTGTTCCAGACTATATTATCAAATGTTAGATGTGAGCAGAGCAGAGAGAGACGAAGCAGACTTTGAGCGTGCGTCGCTTCTGTCTGACTCTGCAGAGTTTTATTGTATTTGTTTATTCTTATCACCTTTTAAATAAATTGCACAAAGACAAACTGTTTTCTCTTGGATCCATTCATCGAAGTATTTAAATTTCCACTACAGTTCCCAGGCCAGCTGAGAGACATAGTCCCTCCAGCGTGTCCTGGGTCTTCCCCGGGGTCTCCTCCCGGTGGGACGCGCCCGGAACACCCCCCCAGGGAGGCGTCCAGTTCTCCTCATTAAACATCTAATTTTCTCACTGAGGGACAATAGTTTCACTTTAACTCAAATCTAAACAAAGAAACAGATCTAAAAGCAGGTTACAAATGCATTCTGAGCTTTCCAGTTTCACAGCCGCTCTGAGACACTCTGCTGTGTACGTTTTTTCATGTTCTGCTCCTTAGCGCCGCTTTGGCCCAGGAGGATGCTGAGTCATGGTAACAGGAGCAGACCCATGCGGACCAGAGCGGGACACTCACCACAGTGCAACACAGGGGCCAGAACCACCAGAGGAAGAGGAGCGCCAGCAGGAGGAAGAGCACCAGCAGGGTGATCAGCAGGATGGTCCCGTCAAACTGTAACACACACACACACACGCACACGCACACACACACACACACGCACACGCACATGCACACGCACAATCACGCACATACACAATCACGCCCACACACACACACACAGCATGAGAACATTGTCTTTTCACTTCGTACACAGGGTGCAGGAGTGATAGAATATACTTTAGTGATAAGAGGATCAAGCAAAACAATTCAATGTATTCTTGTATCGCCCTAAAAGTAGAAAAATATGTTTAAGGCTTAGAAGGTTCTTTCAATAAGACAAAAATCAAACAAAAATGTAAAGGAGCTACTACTGCTTAATATGTTTTGCCGATACAGTTCCACCTTCGTCAGAGGTGACACGTGATTGTGTGACACGGATGCAACAAATTGCATATTATCAAATTGTCACATTTTAGACAATTCCGATGAAGCTGTGTGTGTTTGTGTGTGTGATTCTCCTCCCGGGGGACGCCGCCAGAGGACGGAACACCCCCCCAGGAGAGCGTCCAGTTCCCTCTTTAAACATCTAATTTCTCCACTGAGGGACAATAGTTTCACTTTAACTCAAATCTAAACAAAGAAACAGATCTAAAACAGGTACAAATGGCATTCTGAGCTTTCCCAGTTTCACAGCCGCTCTGAAACACTCTGCTGTTTACGTTTTTTTCATGTTCCGCTCCTTAGTGCCGCGCTGGCCCAGGAGGATGCTGATCTGGTAACAGGAGCAGACCCATGCGGACCAAGAGCGGGACACTCACCCACAGTGCAACACAGGGGCCAGAACCACCAGAGGAAAGGAGCGCCAGCAGAGGAAGACACCAGCAGGGGACTCAGCAGGATGGTCCCGTCAAACTGTACACTACACACACACACACAGCACAGCCACACGCACACCGCACACGCACAACGCAACACAGCAGGAGAACATTGTCTTTTCACTTCAAATGAAGATGTTTGACATGAGTTTCATGTTGATAGGATGTGTGGAAAAGGGGTGTCCCCATAAACCACCAACAAGTCTCAATGACCTTATAAACCACATATACCAGTATGTGTGTGTGTGCGTGATTGTGTGTGTGTGCGTGATTGTGTGTGTGTGTGTGCGTGATTGCGTGTGTGTGTGTGCGTGTGTGTGTGTGTTTGTGTGTGCGTGATTGTGTGTGTGTGTGTGTGTGTGCGTGATTGTGTGTGTGTGTGTGTGTGTGAGTGTGTGTGCGTGATTGCGTGTGTGTGTGTGTGTGTGTGCCTGATTGTGTGTTTGTCTGTGCGTGTGTGTGTATTGTAGCTATGTGTCTGTATTGTAGCAGTGTGTGTATACTGTAGCTGTGTGTGTGCGTGTGTGTGTCTGTATTGTAGCTGTGTGTGTGTGTGCGTGTGTTTGTACTGTAGCTGCGTGTGTGTATTGTAGCAGTGTGTGTATACTGTAGCTGTGTGTGTGTGTGCGTGTGTGTGTATTGTAGCTGTGTGTGTGTGTTTGTGTGTGTATTGTAGCTGTGTGTGTGTGTGTGTGTGTGTACTGTAGCTGTGTGTGTGTGTGTGTGTGTGTATTGTATCTATATTTTTGTACTTTAGCTTTGTATGTATTGTAGCTGTGTGTGTGTACTGTAGCTGTGTGTGTGTGTGTGTACTCTTGCTGTGTGTGTGTACTGTAGCTGTGTGTGTGTGTACTCTTGCTGTGTGTGTGTATTGTAGCTGTGTGTGTGTGTATTGTAGCTGTGTGTGTGTGTGTGTGTGTGTGTGTAGCTGTAGCTGTGTGTGTGCTCTTGCTGTGTGTGTGTACTGTAGCTGTGTGTGTGTGTACTCTTGCTGTGTGCGTGTACTGTAGCTGTGTGTGTGTGTACTCTTGCTGTGTGTGTGTACTGTAGCTGTGTGTGTGTGTGTATTGTAGCTGTGTGTGTGTACTCTTACTGTAACTTAAATCATCTCGTTTCCGTGTGTCTAATTGCGCTCTGTGTCTGAGACCGCAGCTGTTTGGATTTACGGCTCTGTCACGCTGGTGATGTCACTGAGGAAAAGCAGCTTCAAAGTGCGTCTAATTTCTCGTCGAGAGTCTGGAAATGTGCCGCGGCTCCGGGCCATGCACTGTTTTATTCAACTTAAATGACTCTAAATGCTCTTAAATCACAATCCGTTTAATCGTGGTCAGAGGGAGGCGAACCTGGCCAGGCTGCGGTCCACGGTTTACGTTCTAAAGCCCATGCGAAGCTCTGTGTGTGCGAGCGGGTCTTTGGGGAAGGACAATATTCACATTTGTAACTTCATCTTTCTCCCACTGGGTTTATAGAGTTGCCCCTTATGACGCAGGAGGGTCTAAGGCAGGGATGTCAAACTCATTATAGTCAGGCGCCGAGCTTAAAAACATAAGAGCAGGGTGGGGCCAAAAGTGGTTTGATCACCTTTTTGTGTGACTTACTTAAAGTAGCAATATGAAAGATTTTCATGTCAAGTCATCATTAAAGGGCTCCAAACGGACAATGGACCAATGTCTCTGTGTGTCTGTTATCACTGCATTTGATTCTCTGATCTGTGTTGGCGAATTGACAGCTTTGCAAAATCCTGTGTGTAAACTACTGCTGTGATTTAGGCAGTGTTGGGTGTAACTACTGTAACTACTGTAACTACTGTAACGAAATTACAATTTAAGTAATGTAGTAGTGTAACGCGTTACTATGAAAATACGTTTAATTATATTACAGTTACTGCCTAAATACTTCGTTACCGGCGGCACCGGCCTCAGGAAAGCAGCGGAAAGCTGCAGTACCGCTGCATGCGTTTGTTTGTAAAGCAACATGGCAGAGCCAGAGGAGAGGAATTGGTTTTACCGGTGGAAATATGCACTATTTTAACTGTATCAGTCAAAAAGATAAAAACGTTGTCGTGGAGTGGAAGCTTTGAGCCGGCAGCAAGCGAATGCTCTGTTCACATGCTCAGCGCTCTGCGCACTGTATTTTCCCTGTTTTTGGTCAGTTTTTTATAATACTAATACTAACATATAATACTAATCCTAACATAAAATACTAATACTAACATAAAATACTAATACTAACATACAATAATAATACTAACATATAATACTAATACTAACACAAAATACTAATACTAACATAAAATACTAATACTAACATAAAATACTAATACTAACATAAAATACTAATACTAACATAAAATACTAATACTAACATAAAATACTAATACAAACATATAATACTAATACTAACATATAATACTAATACTAACATAAAATACTAATACTAACATAAAATACTAATACTAACATAAAATACTAATACTAACATATAATACTAATACTAACATATAATACTAATACTAACATAAAATACTAATACTAACATATAATACTAATACTAACATATAATACTAATACTAACATAAAATACTAATACTAACATATAATAATAATACTAACATAAAATACTAATACTAATACTAACATATAATACTAATACTAACATATAGTACTAAAATAGGATGGCGTTGTTGCAACAATTAATCTACTTAGAATTGATCCTAAATTAAAACCAGCTTAAGCTTGGTACCACGACAAACTAAAAAGTAATGCAATAGTTACTTTTACTTGTAACTAGGTACTTTTATAGTGCAGTAACTAAGTTAGTAACTATATTACTTTTTGGGAGCAGTAACTAGTAACTGTAACTAATTACTTTTTCCAAGTAACTTACCCAACACTGGATTTAGGGCTATACTAAGAATCCTTGAATTGAACAAGAACAACACAAACCTACAGTAGAACAGTCATGTACAGTATCACCTGATACTGTTGACACTACCACTACAATTGCTCAGTTGGTTCAGCTTTGAGCCTGAAGGTTGTGGGTTCGAGCCCACCGCAAGACCTTCTCCACCGACTCCACTGATGTCTGCTGTCGTTGCGTCCTTGGGCAAGACACTTGCCCAACAACCCATTTTACCTATAAGGAGCCCCGGAAGTAATGTCCGCTACATGCCTTGATTTGTATAATGTATGTACATTTGTATTCATCAAACTGAAATCTCCCCGCTGTGGGACGAATAAAGGACCTTCTTCTTCTTCTTCGTCATCAGACTGTACTTACACACTCGGTGGTGTTGATGTGCACGTTGCTGCTGATGAAGGAGAGTCCGTCGTTCATGCTGACCTGCAGATAGATCACCCTGCAAACACACATGCACTCATTAGTCCACAGGTCTCCAATCTACGACTCGGGAACTACCAGTAGCTCGCCACCCTCTTCAAAGCAGCTCCCAAAAAGATTGATTATAAGTTACGCAACGAAAAAGTGCCAAGACAAATTTAGAAATTGCCCAAACTTGGCTAAATTGATTAGAGAACATTAAAACAAGATTTGGCAATAGAACGCAAAAGCAATACATTTTCAATATATATAAAGCGTAACTTCAGACTGGTAGACTACGCACACACATCACCGCACCAGCCAATCCTCAGCCAATCACATCAGCTTTATCAACCGAGCCAATCAAGTCAGCGCTCAAAAGCAGGACTAGGGTTGGGCGATATGGCCTAAAATTCATATTGCGGTATAATTTGGGACACAGACGGTAGACGGTATATATTGTGGTATAATTTGGTGTGTGAATTTCAATATAGGTCTAGCAGGTTCTTGCATAAAATAGTCAAGATTGTTACTTATTTATATATTAGAATATAGTAAATATATTTTTTGAGTTGTGAGACAAATTAAGAGACAAATGTTGTAACATACATTATTTATGTACGTTACAGTAAAGACCATTTACTGTAAAAGCATCTTAAAAAAAAGAAAAACATATGTATTCATTTAAAATATTTTTAAAAACTCACAAATGTTGAAATCAAAGTCTGTAGGAGTTAGACATGGTCATTATTTATAGTGTCTGAGAGTTTTGTGCAGGTACATGACTTCAGTAAAAGCCATTGTTTGTTTACAAAGCTGGTCTTGCCATTTGTTGACGCTCCCTAAGCGATTGAATGGATTTATGTTCATTAAAACAGCGCATTGGATTTGAACATTTGATGTAAATGATCATTTTGGCACAATTAATTTTGTTTAACAAAGTAGCTTTCGTGAGCTATTGACCGCGGAGGTCCGAATCTGATGGGCCGCTGTGACAACAATACAGAGGCAGAAACACGGTGTTAAAACCGTGCTGTTTTTTGTTGTTTCCAGTGGTGTCTTCTCGGCTAATAGTGCTAGGCTAATGTGCTACGCTAATGCTAGGCTAATAGTGCTAGGCTAATGTGCTAGGCTATGGCTGCTGAATGCCGGTTTGTTTTGGTGCTTTCTGCTGGCGTCAGAGCCTGCGCAATTTGATGACATAATGACCTATTGCAATATGCCGGTATAACAAAAATCTCTACCGTGGGCCAAATTTATATCGCATACCGCTTATACCGTTTATAACGCCCAGCCCTAAGCAGGACATAGCTCTCCATACAGACTTTTTTAAGCCACAACCACCTCCTACCTGCCTCCGCTTCGGGATTTTATTGCACGCTCACGTCCACTTTGCCCTGTTACCACCAGTGTCTACGCCTCAGGATCATAATGTGCATCAAGCAGCGATCCTCACAAGGCCACAGCCAAGCCCATAAACTACAAACAAACTTCCACCACCACTACTACTACTACTACCACTACTACTACTACTACTACTACTACTACTACTACTACTACTACTACTACTACTACTACTACTACTACTACTACGACAACGACGACTACTACTACTACGACGACGACTACTACTACTACTGCTACTTTCTAAAAGTAAGACAAATCTGTAAGTGAGCTGTAGCGAAGCCGAGGGTGTTTTTCCCACTCTCATATGTGGATTTTTAGTGTGTGTTATGATCCTTTTGTGCGTCCGAGGCACTTATGAAACTGTGAGACCTGAAAACACGAGCTGTGGAGATGAACGAAGAAACAGCTCCTAGTCTTTATGTTTTTGGGAACGCTCTGTGTCCAAATCTGCGACCCCACCTCCCCTTTAAAGGAATCTGCGACCCCACTGCCCCTTTAAAGGAATCTGCGACCCCACTGCCCCTTTAAAGGAATCTGCGACCCCACTGCCCCTTTAACACTAGGACCACCGTGCTCTAAACATACCTTGCACCGCCCCCTGCGGTCAGTTAACCGCTATGTATTTTGTGCTGATACAGCCTTTTGCCAAATTGATTGTTCACTAAACCAGAACTTGATGTTGCAAGGAAATCGTGATCATAATGAAACTGTGTACATTATTTCTCTAAATATGATAAGTAATTGTAATTCTAGCCGAAATAAAAGGCTAAGACGACACATTTTGCATAAACTGATCCATCAAAATTACAATGACTTTTCAGGCTAGATTTATTTTGTAACTTTGCAAACACCTAAAAGGTTGGTCACTATATGTTAGATTTGACTCAGTAACAATATGTAAATTCAAACAATATAAATAATAGTTTAGAAAAGCACGGGACCATAACGTCTTCGCGCTGCTAAATGCGTCTCTTCTTACGTCATCTCCAGACTGTTTTCTCTTTCCAGCTGAAATCACCGCGGGAAATATTATCTAGATAATAATAATAGTATTTGTAATGACACGAGATCATCAGCGAGGCTACCGTCGTCAATGTACAATCTTCAATTTTACATTATTTGTATTTATTTGAGACAAGCAGTGCTCTTTATGATCAGAACAACATTATAATCATTGCCTTGCAGTGCGCGCTGTGCAGAATAACACACAGTGTTATCTGGATGAAATCAGAATGATATCCTTATTGATATGATGAGGGCCGCTTCTGCCCCACAGTCGCTCTCCTCCTGCAGTGTCCACGGGTGACGAGAGGCCTCACAGCGCTCTTTCTGCACTCTGCCTTGATAGTTCATCTAATTGTTCTATTTTATTACGATATTGTATTCTGCTTTATTGCCTTCTTCTATGTATAAATATAATAATGTAATTGATGATGAATGAAAAGGCAGAATGGAGCGACAGCGCGCACACAGACACCTGCGTATGGCTGGCATTACGCACGCTCATGTGCGTTATTGCTTCTGGACTTGTTCCAACTCTGCTGTCCGTGCCGTGAATGCACTGTGGGTTTACGTTCAGATTTAGAATATTATAGATGTTCTCCCCGCTGTCACTTTCCACCTCAAACTGTGACATCTCACCTCCGTCAGACTGTTCTCATTCAATATCTTGAAGCACTGTCAGGGCTTCATATCGTGTACTTGCAGCTCTATTCATTCTGTACTCCTCTCAATTCAAAACTCTTTCTCTCTCCCAAATAATAATGAAAAAAAACCTCAAGTCCCTTTAGAGTCTAATGACAACATATTGATACATTTTTATAAGGCGCGAAAAACCCCCGGGAAAGGTTACTATGACAACAGTCGCCCCTGCGCCATGTATCCCTATGGGGCAGCAGAAAGGGCTGTGGTTTAGAAAAGTTAAAATCCGTGTAAATCTTGTTTTCTTTACTTTTTCCAAAACCAAAACACACCAAAGTATAAACAACAAGTACCCAGTAAAAGTCATAAAGTTTAAACTTCTGGCGTTTTGTTTTGAATACACTAATTAGCATATTAAAGTGAGTGACGGTCAGTTGACCGCTAGGGGCGCTCCTAGTGTTAAAGGAATCTGCGACCCCACTGCCCCTTTAAAGGAATCTGCGACCCCACTGCCCCTTTAAAGGAATCTGCGACCCCACCGCCCCTTTAAAGGAATCTGGGGTGAGGGAGTTTGAAGCCTCTGCAGGATTATGGTCTGAGGTCCAGGTGTGTGTGAGTGAGTAAGTGAGGGGCAGATGTGTGTGTGTGTGTGTGTGTGTGTGTGTGTGTGTGTTGCCTCCTCTGACTGACAGCGGGGGGGGGGGGGGGCAGAGCTGGGTTAGTCGGTGAAGTTCAAGTCTGAAAAGTAACAGCTGGAGAATGAAGAAGCAAAAGGCAGAGGTTTAAGAAAGGAGCACAGGGACTGGCCTCCTGCTGGGACTCTGAGGAGCACAGGGACTGGCCTCCTGCCGGTCCCACAGTCAGCACTAAACATGGGTAGACAATTTTTCAGATTTATGCAGCTAAAATACAGAACAGTCTTCCTGAAAATGTGAGACAGGCCTCTTCTCTGACAACGTTCAAATCCAGATTAAAAACAGTTCTGTTTAAATGTGCATTTAACTGAGGGATTGTGTCTTTACCCTTTATTTATTTATGATTTAGCAAGCAGAGAAACAAGCAGAATTATAAATGAAGTTTTTTTTCATTATCGTTGTAAAAATAATAAAGTATCAAAACATAGAAAAAAGTCGCCTTTGAAGTCGCCAAAGAAACCAATCTTAAAAACCCAGAGGGAGAAAAGTGAGAAACCAAACTCCACTGTATTTTACTCAATATTTTAGGAGTATTTGTTTATGGCCGACTACTTCAACAGTATTAAAAATAACACATTTGTTATATTTAAATTTTCCTGTATATAATGTTTTTTACGTCAAAAGTGTCCTGTCCCTCTGCCTCCTTTTCAGCGTTCTTGTTCATGTCCCACATTTTCCTTCAGTCACGCCTCCACGAAACACATTCTGACTCCGCAGAGAAACCATAGAGTCAGAATGTGTTTTATTAGCCTTCCTTCACATAAATAAGCTCAGTCCTTTCTTCCTGCAGAGAACACATGGCAGAGTTAGTGCTACAAGGCTTTGATCATCAGCAACGGACAAACCCAGAGACACTGAAAGAGGGAGACAGGGGAGACGGGGGAGACGGAGGAAGACGAGGGAGACAGAGGGAGACAGGCAAAGAATGGGCAGATACCAGGAAGAGGGGGAGAGAGAAAGAAGGGGGAGATGGGGAAGGGAGGAAGAGAGAGGAGGAGGGGGGAGGAGATGGAGAGATATGAAGAGAGAAGGAGAGAGAGAGGGGGAGAGGTGGAGAGAGGGAGAGAAGGGGAGAGGAGATAGAGAAGGAGGGTGGAGGAGATAGGTAGAGAGAAGGAGGAGGGAGGGAGGAGGAGATGGGGAGAGGAGGAAAGGACAGGGGGAGATAGGGAGAGAGAAGGAGGAGAGAGAGGGAGATTGGGGCAGAGGGGATAGGGGGTGTTAGGGAGTGAGGGGGGAGAAGAGGAGAGAGGGGGAGAGGAGAGAGAGAGAAGATGGAGGGAGAACGAGAGGGGAG